ATCAGATAATATTTTTATATAAAAATTTTTTAATAATTTTTACATATATATATATATTTACAATAATTGTGTTCCAAAATCAAAGTGTTACTATCTATCAATCCCAATCTATTCTATTATCTATTTTATATCTAAGATAATTTTTTTTAATATTCGAATATTTATATATTTTTTTTATAAAATTCATTAATAAAAAGAACTCTTAAAAAATTTATTGACATTTAACACTTTTACTGTTATATTAAAATATTCAATGCTATGCTTTGCATATATACTGCATAAATTACTACATTGATAATTTACATTATAATTTTTATAATGTAAAATATAGAAAATATGTAAACACAGATACATAAGAAAATATAAAAACTATAGGATATGATTCATCTAAAAATATTTTAAGTAAATTGCATATTTTTAGAAAGTTTAATTTATTTGAATTTTTCATCATAAATCCGTTAAAAATAAAAACTTTATATAATAATACAAAATAATACATACTTTGAATTCATTTTTTTTCACAAGTAAAAGATTTCTTGAGATTAAAATAATGTAGAATATTGTAGAATATCGTGACTGGTTTACACTATTTTTTTTTTTCAAAAGTAGATCTCTCGAGACTAATCCAAAAGTAATATAGAATACTGTAGAATACTATGAATAGTTTATATTCCACTGAATGTATAAATATATACTTATATACATAAGTAAATACAGTTCATGAAAGAAAATACTGATTGGTTGATGACCTAATATATTTATAAAAACAGACAAGCTTATTGGTCGAGATGTTATCCACAGATAAAATCTTATATATTGAGCAAAAGCGGGGGAATACTTCCTTTTCTTTTGTCCATTCCGAGATTTTTTCCAGTCAATATTTAAATTTTAGTACATTTATAAGATATTTTTGAAGAAATATAAAAATAAACATTTATAAAATATTATTTTGTCATTATAAAATGTATTTGTATAACTCATAAATATGAAAAAATCTATGTCAGCAACCAGTTAAAAATTGTAAAATAATGTAGAACATCAATAATCAAAGATTTTAAAATAACATAGAATTATATTATTGATGGAACCAGCGAAAAATTTCAAGATTTTCAATAACTTGTTAACGAAGCCATAACAAAAATTTTAGCAAATGTTGCTAAAATTTTAGAAAATGTTGCTTGAAATTACTTTAGAAATTTTCAATTAAGTATATTTCCATATTTTTGGACACTCTGTCACATATTATAAAGCGTAGACTTCCTACATTTTTGTACATCCACGTACATCCTTATAAAAATCTAATTTAAAATCATTTTTGGATAAATTAAAGAAGAACTTGAATTGAGTTAGATTTTTACGAGATGGAAATAATATTCGTTTATATTTTCATTTATAAAATACATAATTGTGATTATATTTTTTTAAATTAAATATTATTATTAAAAAAAACATTCAATCATTCAAAAAAATTTTGTTTTTTACCTACTCTCTATAAAACATAAAATATCTATTTATTATATGTTTAAGAAAAAATTGTTCACGATGATGAACTGACAACATATTTCAAGATCATTAAAATCTTGTAAAGTGATTCAATTATTTTGCATTTATTATAAAATTAAATTATTCATAATTTGGTAAATAAATTTCAATTCATATTTTTATGTTTCTTTCAATGTAGAAAATTGATCTCTGTATGTTCCACGCATTCTGATTAAACAAATACATTTTATTGAAAATCTTTATCTTCTTCATGCAATCTTAAATTGCTTAAAACTTAATAAATAATTATTTTATATTTATATTTTTAACTCAATTTATTTTATATTTTTATATTTTTTTATATTTTTATATTTTTATGTTTCTTTTAATATAGAAAACTTATAACTTTTATAATATACTTATAACTTTATATAACTTTTGTAATTTTTTAGAATCGACTCTTTCAAATTAATTAACGAATATATTAATTCTTAATATATAATT